GGGGGGTCAGGAAGGGGTGCAGGACTAGCGAAAACAGGGGTAAGGCGTGTGTGATAAGTCAGAGAATCTGCTATGCTTGAATGGTATATCCACTGCAGCGAGTAGCGGAGGTTTGTCAACAACATCTAAGATGGAAGTCTACAAAGTTGTGCTTGTTCTTCTCGGAATTGCTGCCCACTGTCGTGAGTTCAAAATGAAACCATCTGCAATTTACGTACGTCAGCCTCTTAAAGTTCCCTCTTTTCTTATAGCTTATCAGAATCTATTTGTTTCATGTTCGTGATGAATTCTAATTCGTTTTCCTAAAGTACAGTAGCGGGCGTGTCGATATCCCAGTTGATATCAAGTTAAACTACCTTCCTGCTGACCTTTGTTGAAACCCCTGAATTTCTTTAGCTTGAGTTTTTCAGACTTCTACTTGTCTCGGTTCTGTCGAAAAATGGACGACACAGTCGATCTTGCGTTTGAAGTAGCCTTGCAGTGTCAAAACGCAAGGAAAAATAAAAGACATTTCTCAATGTGATACAAACATTTATAGTAAAGTTATTATTTTCTATACTTTAGGGGTTAGCGAGTGGGTCGGTTATGTCGACCCAAATGCTACAATTTTCGAGGTTTGGCTAAAACAACACTTACATATAAATAACTGTAAGCCTCTAGAAATCATCAAATAACTAATTTTAATTATTGTAGAGTCAAATAAGGAGCAGCGTCGATATTCTTGTGGTAGGCTTCCGGACTTGTAATCTTGACATGGCTGTTACGGGGGTTCGAGGCTCAGCCCTGATCTTGAGAAAGGCAATTTACACGATTCTTTTCATTTGTCTGGGGACTTTAGGAAATGAACGCTTAATTCTGAGGATCCCGCCTCTTAAACAACTTTACATTATTACAAGACCTGTCAAGCCTACACAATTTCGAAACTAAAAAAAAAAAAGAAGGAACAGCGGTGATAAACCGAGATCTTATCTCATCCCTCTGTTCTGCGCTTCGTACCAGATGGCTTCTCCGAAGTGTCAAACATCGAGAAACGATCCAGTTCCTGTCGTTCTACTATGGTGTGCCTGGCCCCGGTTCCAATGCTTGTGGAGCTAGTGGAGAAAGACTTTGTGTCTGGTCTCGGGCCTCTGACTTACGAGGTGCTGCTGGACCGTGTGTGTGGGTGAGTATTGCTGTTGTGTTGAAATTTTTATTTGGCTCTCTCTCTGTATCATCCCTCTTTCTCACGCGCTCTTCCTTCCTTTCGATCTATTTTTCTTTCTTTCCTGCTTTTGTTCTTTCTTTTTTCTTTTTATTCTCTCTGTCTTCCTTCTCTTGTTCCCTGTCTGCCATTCATTTGCCCCCCCCCTCTCTCTCTCTCTCTCTCTCTCTCTCTCTCTCGCTCTCTCTCTCTCTCCCTCTCTCTCTCTCACTCACTCTCTTTCTGCATCTATTATTGTGTGCCTGGCCTTAGTCTCCATAATCGTGGAGCTAGTGGAGAAAGACTTTGTGTCTGATCTCGCGCCTCTGACGTACGGGGTGCTGCTAGACCGTGTGAGTGGGGGAGCATTGCTGTTGTGTTGTTGGTAGCTTGGTATCAAATTGGGCCCCCATATTAGCCACCCTGGATCAAAGCATGATTGTGGATTTCTCTAAGTTTGGTTGTTTGAAGAGGTTTCGAGTTTTTATTTTCTTATTCTCTTTCTCTTTCTTAGTCTTCATCTGTCTGTCTGTCTGTCTGTCTGTCTGTCTGTCTGTCTGTCTGTCTGTCTGTCTGTCACCTCTCTCTATCTCATTTTCTCTTGCTTTCTTTCTCCTTCTGACTTTCTACTCTTGTTCTCTCTCTCTTGCTCTCTTTCTCTCTCTCTCTCTCTCTCTCTCTCTCTCTCTCTCTCTCTCTCTCTCTCCTTTTTTCTTTCTTTTCCCCTCTCACTCCCTCTCTTTCTCTCTCTCTCTCTTTCTCTCTCTTTCTCTCTCTCTCTCTCTCTGTCATTCCCTTCCCCGGTTCGATGACATCGGAATTAAATAGTACACCGGATGCTTGGCCTCTTACTAAACAGGTCTGCAACGAAAGAGGCAAAGAACTTTGCTGTGCCAATATTTTATCAGCACGTTATCATAACGGAGACCAAAAAGTTGTGACTTATTACATCTTGTATATGTCGGAGAGGGGCCTTACGGTTGCCCTTCAGACGCCGATTTTTATCGGTGCTTGGCACACAAACAGGTAGGACGTCCCTGTAAATATTCCCGTCTCAAAGTGTAAATGCAAAAGTAATTTTTGAAAATCATTTATGATTGATTACGTTCACCCCCACCCCCCGCCCCACTTCATTGGTCCATCATCCCCATGATAAGTAGGAGCGTAAAATAAAAGGGAGAAGGAGAAAAGGTTCCAAATAAAGAAAAATAAATAAAAAAAATAAACAAATAAATAAATAAATAAAAAGTAACCGTTACAGAGGAATGAAGCAACATACAGTAGAACACGGCTGTAGCGGGACTTTTGGTTCTAGAAGAAAAATCCCGCCGAGGCTTCCGGCTATAAGAATGCGAAGGGGAAATTACCGAAAAATGTCTAAAAATCCACCTAATTACCTCCCTTCCTCATCAATACAATTTTTGTCTTTAGGTTAGTCTTCCTTTTCTTTTTAACTTTGTTGATTATCTTGGCCTTTAATTCGAGTGAGAAGTGTTTCTTTTTGTCTTTGTTGGAAGCCATCTTTTCCCCCGACTTGATGCCTGTGCTGTCTGTGGTAACGTTAGGCCTACTGTTGAACTGATGAAGCAGATGCATGCGATTGCCTATGAGCATCAACGACCGCAATTCAATGAATCAGGAATCACACACTACACGCTCTCCTCTTTTTTCCCTTTTTGGCCTAGCCTGAGCCTAGGGCTAAGCCATACTATCTCATACAGAGCGTCTAAGCCTAAGCTACGACACATCCCTTTTGGGGTGGCTTATGTAACGCGTCTCTCTGCATCTTCTCTCTCTGCCGCCTGCTCCACCTCACTCATTACTGGACTGTCCAATCACAACGCTGCACCGCTGACTGCCTATTTGGAGCCCACCTACAGCCCCCCAATCCCCTTCCCCCCCAGCTTGAGCTCACTCGATCTCTCCCGCTGTATCCGAGTTCGAGACTTTCCTTGCCCCGTTAAACCCGAGCAGGGGTAATTGAATTTACATAGAAAAAAGGGGGTTCCAGTAAAGTCCCGCTGTAGGGATGGTCTCGCTGTAGCGGGTGCCGCTATAGTCGTGTTCTACTGTATTTTTAAAAGATAGATTTTGCAGCACTGAATGAGTACATTCTTGATAAAAAGATGAATTATATGAGTAAACTGCCTCTTTACTGTTTCAGACAACAAAATGAAATCCAGAGATGTGTAAGCAGAACACGATGCAGGGACCCACACCGACAGTACACGGGCCAGGCTGTAGTGGACATTCTAGGGTACATCTGTGGACAAGGAAGAGAGGGTGAGTCCATCCAACTACACGGATGTGAAATTCGAGGAGGTGCTACCTCTAAAAAAAGATTCCTTATAAGTGTTGATCGGGCCATTAAACCCATACATTAACACACTTTTTCAAGTGCCATAAAACTCTTACTAAATCTACACTAAACTGAGCAGATCTCATTCGTCAAGCCACAAGACATACTGAAAAAAAAGGATCACTTCTCGTAGTGAATACTGACCTTTGGTTTTTATACACTGTTCACAAGCTCGCGTACAAATGAATAATATTTTGTGCCCAGCATTGGCTCACGCCTGGGGGCTTTTCTGTTAAGAAGTCGAATTTTTAGTTAATGAAAACTTCAAGTCATTCCTATTGAGCTTGATTTCAAACGCGTTGAATATGACGTTCTGAATTGTGAGCCATATTTTGAGAGACTTTTGGATTATTTTCTAATTAGTACAACGAACATCATCTTGGCTGAGGTTTGTACGAGTAAAATGATACTAAAATCAGAATCGAGTGGTGACAACTATTCTGTTTTTATCATTTGCCTTTTTATATGAGATTGGCGCCATCTGATTAGTAGAAAAATTGCGTATGGTTGTGTCCAATAGTGTACGAGAGTATTACGTGTATATTTAGTATGACAAGTAACAGTTACAGATAGAGATTTCAGGATTATAGATGTAAGTCATTGATCTGAGAGCAGTGATGATTTTAGAAACAATGGTGGTGATGAGTGATGATGTGGAATAGCGTTAAGTAATGTTAGCGTTAGTCCTATCTTCATCTGCTCCAATGTCTCATGAGGGACGTGGGCACCCTCTATCCCGTTCCCTACTGGAAATGTGACAACTGCTCATGAACACAAACACACACACACATACACACATACACACACACATACACACACACACACACACACATATATACTCTCTCTCTCTCTCTCTCTCTCTCTCTCTCTCTCTGTGTCTCTCTCTCTCTCTTTCACACACACCCTCACACACAAACATCCACGTCACCAACACCAACGAAGAAAGATTGTCTA